AAGTCGAAGGCCATATTATTTCTTCAACCCAAACGGAATCAAACCCAGTAAGATCTTGACGTACTCTACTGCACAAATTATGTAACGACGAATTTTGTTTTACCTCAAGTTTTTAGCAGTTGTAACATTCTTATTATAACAAATATTTGACCGACGGTTTTGATGTACGAAAAGAGAATTATATATTAATCTTGATGTGCTTTGGGCATTCTTGGGTATTGTAGCTGATAGGTGGGTTTACAGTTACTATTAATTGGATGGTCAATTTTGAATGATTGATGGAATACTTAAACGGTTAATTAGCTACTGAAAATCTTTAACAAAGCAAGCGAACACAAAGTTAGAAACTTTATAGGAGAAAAGCAGTTGGGAGTTGGAGCCCCAGTGGTTTCCACATAGAATACTGCAGTTGTAATAGTTATCAGGTAATTCAATTAAGTGAATGAAGTACAACCGTAACTTCTTTTGTTGTTCTCTCTCGAGTTATAACAAGATTATTTCTAGAAATACAGGTTTTATCTCTTGATATCAACACAGATAACATAAATTCATTAAGTATACTGAAAATCACTAAAACTTAACTGATATATCTCTATACAGGTTATCACCCTTAGATGGATAAATCAAATTCTAACCATGAATTACTTTTCTCAAATTAATTCATGACAAATGGATCAATTGCTAGTTGATCAGACTGACAATAGTATTAACCACAAATTCACCAACTTCGTTAACTGAAAAACCTATTAAAATCACGACTTTGTGTGTTCACATGCTTACGAATCAAAGTACAACCCCCACCATATAAAGATTAGTTCATGTTGGGAGTGACGAAAATCAAAACAAGAAGAGTAGAATTCATAGATGTAGACACGATTTCTCAACAAAATATAAATCATTGCAAACTCCCTTTTTGCAGTTCAATACCCATAAATGATGGTTGCAGATATGTTAATCTTCACTCCTGTTGTGTTTCCGTGCCTTCAATCTCTGCCAAATTTTGCTAAGAATCAAGCTGAAATCCCCCCCTAACCGTAGAGTAGATGATAGGATGTTGACTCCCTCAACCCTACCTAAAAAAACGTTTAAATCGCGTGCAGGGCCACACAACTCAAGTCACACGACTAAGTTGTCCAAGAAGTCCAACTTGCCAAAAGCCTTTAACCCGAACCTAAACTTGTTGGAACCACTATTATGGCTAGACGTGTGCACAAAATCAACCGATCCAATTAGAACTGACCGACCATAATTGGATATCCAATTGTAACTGGATCAGATTGAAAATTTCAACATTCCAATTTGGATCGGTCAGTTCTCTTATGACAGTCTAGAAACGACCAAAACCGAACCGATCAACATCCAATTAATCATCTGATGACCATCCAGTTGTCCATCCAACCATTATCCAATTAATTTATTTTCAAATTGCTTAAATCGAAATTTGTTTTATGTAAGATTTTGAATTTTTAACTTCCCTTGTGTTGGTTTTAACATATATTAAAAGTGATTAATTAATTTGTATCATTGTTAGAGAATTGGATTGAATTAACACACGATGGATTCAATCCCATTGGATCATCCATTTGATATCTGATGGATATCCAATAAAATTATCCAATGGATGGAATCGAATCGATCCAATCATCCATTGATTGGATTAGATCAGTTATTTAATGTTAATCAGATCAGATAGGTTATAAAAAAAAACAAGTTAAATTAAAGGGTATATTGGTCCTTTTACTTGTATTTTTTCCTTTTTATTTTTATTAATTATATAATAGAATAACCATGTAATCGATTTCCATAAAGTATTTCTATGTTTTGTTTTATAATTTGGTTGCAATAACCACAGGAATGGATTTGGAGCGAGTAGGAGTGGTTACACGTTGTGATGATTGAATTCATGATGCGTCTTTAATTTTAGGGTTTTCGATTGCAATGCTCTTCTGTTGTTTTGGTGGTTCATTGTTAAAGAGACGGAGAGTGTTCTGGATTTGCGATAGCCTGTAAGTGTTATGTTTTGTGTTTACCTTTCATCCTCGATCTGTTGCCATACTCTATTTCGTGATATCAAACCCAATCTGATCCGATCGGAGCTTCTGTTAGATTTTGCAGAAAGAAAACTGGGATATTCATACACTTGGCCAATGTTTGTTAACATCTTAACGAAACATATACATACATATATATATATATATACATATATACATATAGGGTTAGGTTCACGTGAGACTAAGGGTCTTTCGTTAGACCTGCAAGACCAACTTATGTTCATTGATCAATTTTATAAGACAATGATCTAATGGTCTCAAGTTGCACGGTGACAATTTTGTTATTATTGAGAAGTCTCATGGCGTTTATAAATGTTCAGATTGTCAGATTGTATATCTAATCCAAAGGTTGAGAATTAGTCTTATGGGTCTCACGAAAAACCATTGGTCTCGCATGATCCAAGTCTATATATATAACTGTTTGATAATGGTTTAATGATATAGAAAATGACTTATTTGGTGAGCTTCTTTGGGGAGTTTTATACTGAAAGCCAAGTTTTTTCCAACTTTCCCATTCAATTAAAAAACACACTGCTTCCATCTAGGAAAAAGTCATCATAAACATGATCTATATAGGCCGACTAATCCACATTGCCAGCTTTATCCATACTGGACTTAGGGGGTGTTTGGGATTGATTATTCAAACAACTTGTGTTTTTTTGTAGAAGTTTTTATCAACTTATGTAGTGACAAACCGGAGTTTTATAAAAAGTGTTTGGATTAGCTTATGACGTTACCACTTCGGATAAACTGACAAATAGATAAGATGCTCTTTTTTCCCCTCCGAACACTAAAAACTCCTTGTTACCGTTATCACACTGGAATAAGTTAATAAGTTAGAAAGGAGTAACTTATCAAAAACTCTTTATTACCGGCTTGGTTTAAAAATGCGCACATAATGCGCTCTGATGCGTGATGCGCTCTGATGAGCTGGAGGAAACGCATCAGATGGGCTGATGCGTTGCGATTTCATGATGCGCTCGCATCACCTATGCATCAGACGATGCATGCATCAGACGATGCATGCATCAGCGCATCCTGTATGTTTCATATTTGGGCTCCCTTTTTCAGTTTTTAGTTGGGCTTTTTTGTTGATTAAAAATAGAACGTGAGACTGAATGGTGACCTAATAGAAGAAGCCGACAGCCACTAATAGAAGTAGCACTCACATATCAATCAATGAGGAAGATGAACCTGTGTTGGGGTTTGATGATGCTGATCTTGGAGAGTATTAGTTGGTCACTTGGTCATTTAGTTTAGGCATTGGGGACTATTAGATATTTGTGTTCTTCATGGTAGTAGTTTGTGTGTTCTATTATTCCGATTCACGAACTTTTCAAGATTCTAATGCCACTTTTTGAACCACTTTATGTTATAAATGAAGTATTTTGATAGGTAAGTATTTTGAAGGTAGAAATTGATATGTATAATTAATTTATAAATATTTTTTGAATACCGGGCGCATCACGTGCGTTATGCGAGCGTATCAGCATCACGCATCGGCTTCCAGGATCCTTACCGCCTCAGACCGCATCGCGCTTTTTAAAACCAAGATTACCGGTGCCAAACCGGTATAAGTATTTTCTTTTTTTTTCCATCCAAACATTAAAAACTTCTTATTACCGATAGCACACCGGAATAAGTTAATAAACACTTTAAATAAGCACCCAAACACCCCCTTAGGATTGTTTACCAAACTCTTATCGTATAAGCACTTATCTGGTATTACTGACCAAAATATTACCTCGTAAGCAGGACAAAGCCATCTTGGAGCCAGAGGGTATGCAAGTCTTTGATCTCCTAGGAGGTCAGGGGTTCAAACCTCACGAAAGGTGAGAAGGACATATGAGTTTATTTGTTCTATTTATCATATATAAACAATATATACTTCAATTTTTTTTTGAAATAGTCTCCAACCTAAATTATCACCTTAAAACTTTATTTAGTTATATCAAAATTTCCTTTGCCAATTTTTTGGAGAGTTCTAAAATAAACACATCTTATTTTATTGAATACACATATTCTTTGCCATAAGTTTCATGTATATTTAAAGGATTTTCATATATGGTTATCTATACACATCTTGTATTTGTTTGTATAAATATAAGAAATATTTATGTTATTGAGCTCACTCATGCTTTTCAACTCTTTTTTACAACTATTTATTAAAAGACATATAAACTTATAGGCACCTCCTAGATAAATTTTCAGGCTCCGCCCCTGCTGATAAGCGTTTACTGGGTAAAAGATGCTTACCAACAATTCAATTTGATGACCGAGAACCTTACCTTATAAGTGTGTTACTCTTGCGCCCGGTAAGCGTGTTTGGTAAACGCCCCTTAGCTACATATATGTGGTGCAATTTTCGTTTGATGAGGGTCGAGGTTAACGTTGGAGGATATCGGGTATCCAAAAGGACCGTTTCAAGTATTTAGACTTCATGATTCTGACGGATTGAGATGTCGGGTGGCTGAAGTCAACGAGTTTTTGTGTGACAAGAAGGTCCACAAAAGGTGAACCGAAATTTTTAGACCAACCATGTTATATGGATGTTTTAGGTGTTAAGGAAGGACCATAAGATGAAATTGGAAGTTATAGAAATAAGGATGCGTAGATGGCCTTATGGTCGGACCTTGTTAGACCAGATACTAACACATGGTATTCCGAGTTGTGTCTATCACGGATAAATTGAGAGAGGGAAGACTATAGTTGTTGGGACACATGCGACATGAGACTGATGGCTATATCGGTGAGAGGAGTACAAAGTGTTACGGTTGTGGGGGAGACTGAGAAGGAAGTGAGATGAGCAACTGGGGTGGACATGATGGCTTTAGACATTTCCATGGACATGACCTCTGATAGGAGTTGTTAGAGCGGTCTAGCTATCACAGACCCTGCTTTCGAGCGCGATATACTGAGTTTGTTTGGTTTGGTGTTAGAATAGGAACATTTTTTTGTAACGGAGAACTAACAAAACCTTTCAAATTCCGGCGGAGCAAAGGGAGTAATACAAGAATTTACGAAGAAACAATCTCGAACATTATTCGAAAGGTACACACAGACGTATAAGGAAGAATAGCAAATAATGTTAATGAAGTATTTATACACAGCTTTGAACTCTTTACTAAAACAAACCTTCACAAAATGCAGGGCCTCAAAAATCCACATCATCGCCATTTAAAACGGTTCTCACTTTCCTTTTCTTCCTGTAATTGGTTCATATCGCCTTACTTTTGATGTCTTCTTTGCTTTCGATTCCATGTTTAGAAACGGAAAAACCTCTTCTTTTTCTTCTTCTTCTTCTCAAGGTATGCTACGAGCTCTCGTTGTTGGAGAAGGGATTCCTCAAGAGACTGCATTGAGAAGAATACGTAGCTAGATATGAGTTCATAACGAAGAAAATTGCATGAGCATGCAACGTACTTTGCTCTGATTCCTATTTCGTGTAACGTACTTTCGGAACCTTCATTTTGGTAACATCTAAAATATTTAGGTATCTAGTTTACATATGAGAATGCATGAAAAAGTAATGTGGTTTGGTGCAATTCCTATTTTTGTCGCATACTGTCTAAATGTTGAAGATATGACATTTGAGGTACCAAAGTTTAAGGTTTTAAAAGTATGTTACACAAAATAGGAATCAAACAAAAGTACGTTGCGTTTTCATGCAATTTGTCCATCATGGCTTGCACAAACTAGTCCAGTTTGTCAATTTTAAATGTTTTCAAGATTCACTCTTTTACTGTCGTGAAGTTTTCTTAACTCAAGAACATATGATTGTGCAGCCTAAAATAAAAATCTCCTGTCCCCTCCAATCACTCAAACACACATCATTATTTTATTTGATTCCTTTTTTTATTCTCCCGCCTCAATAACATGATGATGTTTCTTCACATGATTGGTGGACAAGGAGGGGACATGTGATTTGGGGACGAGATTTTTATTCAGCATAAGCCTCGAGGTTAACTGAGTTGCTAGTTAGTTCTGAATTATTTTCTAGTTTCATGAGATTTAAAGTGTTTGAAGTACCTTTTTGGTAGCAGCAAGCTCAATCTCCAAGGCTTCTACACGAGACAAAGTCATATTAAGCATGTTCTCCTTTTCTAGGGACATCTCCACTGGTTGGTTGTCGAGGACAATAACCTTCTCTTCCAAGTCTCCCAAACGCTTCATCATGCTGAGGTACTCAACAGGGGAGACGGCAGGTGCTTTCAACTTATAAGGACTGGGATGTCTTTTTACCATATTGTCATCATCATGGATGCTACTAGAATAGAGTGTCGCATCTATAAGTTTTTTGGGCATGTTGTGTGTCATACGGACCATGGTCATAACTCCCATCACCAAGGTCATCATACCTGTAAGCAGCTGGTTGCCTAGCCCATCACTAGATTTGCAAGCATTATGGATTGGATGATAATCTGTATTTTTGGGGATGGCTAACTTCTGTTTTGGTTTTGCACGATCTACAACCTTGTCAACCATGGGTGGATAGTCATTTGTCTCACCTGCGGCTAGGTGGTGGTGTTTTACCTGAGCCTACAAATCGATTCAAAGCAAACTTATGGTAAGGCAACCTCCCTAGAGGTCAATGGTTCAAGCCTCACCAAAGGTTAGGAGTCTGTGAGTTTTGCAATATATAAATATTATATACATAAAAGATTTCAGAAACGTACTTCTTCCACAACTGGAGGGAGACTTGGCTGCTTGATGTCCACCTGGTTTTTTGGAGATTCAGTATCTTTCTTGGAAACACAACTTTTCTGTGGAAGGAACAAGGTCAGTATCTACTCGCTTCTTATTTATAGGTGGAAACACCAAAAAGTGAAAAAAAGGGTCATTGGTCTAGTTGTACCCACGTTACTGAGCCCAGCCTCTCAAGAGGTCAGGGGTTCAAATCTCACCAAAGATAAGGAGTGTGCATAAGTATTTGCCGTGTATAAATATTTTATACTTAAAAAAGAAGACATTTGTTTATTTAATGCTTAAAAATGTAGATTTGCTCATGAAAACCTTATGCCTGAGGCTTGATCAAGTGGTTTGGACTTATTCAAGATAACTCCAATATTTTGAGTTAAAAACAACGTTTGTATGTTTTTATAATGAATTATTAGGAGTGCATCAATGGGCATGTGATAAAAGTTTCACCCCTCAGGTGTTTTGCGTGTCTCAAAAAGAAAATGACCCTAAATGTTGCAGAGAGAAAATACCATGTTTGAAGGCTGGTCCTCAGCAATGACCTTCTCTTCTTGGATGGCATTCTTTGAACATTTGTGCTGACCATTACGGACCATCTGCAACACCAAATCACCAACACATTTAGCATCTGAAAATGGATATAAGATTTTGAAGGTAAGGAAATTGTGGAAGTAATACCTTGATGATCTCTGGGTCTTGCCATGGGCCCTTGTCTGAGCGCATACAACCACCTTTATCAGCACAGGTGCAGGTACCACCCAGGAACTCTGGAAGTTCACTGCCACAGATAAGAAAATATGCATATGAGTTGAAGTTAAAGGTGGAACTAGTTCAAATTGCCATTATCTAGCAAATTGCGTGAATTTTGATAAAGAGGAGAAAACAAAAACAGACATGTTGGAAAGACTATTTTGTTAAAAAGTACCTGGCATCAATCATTTCCAGGAGCTGGCTTTGGTACTTGGTGCCCAAAACCTATATGTAGATAGAGCCAGTTACTTGTCAAGTCTTTTATTTGGGAGTATATAAAATCATATATGACAAAGCTCACACACACTTCTCACGTTTGGTGAGGCTTAAACCCTTGACATTTGGGATCTACAGGGCCAGTAACTCTCTGGTGACATGTCAAGTCTTTGAGCTTAATAAATAATGGAGTTTTCTTTGAGGTTAATAGATAGGATGAACTTACATGAATCTTAGAGGTGGTCTTTGGATCAAGGAAGGATTTCACTGTGTTCCACAAGAGCCTAAATCCAGAGCCCGCATTGATGATGTACATGCGGCAGAGAGTCTATAAGGTACAGAAAGTTGAATAAATAGTCAACCATAAATATCATTCAAATAAACATGTGTACTTTAACCTCCATCTCATAAATTTGAGTTTTTAGAAACGAAGTACCTCGGGGTAATTGTTACCGTCAATGTTCTGGAGACGCTGGATAAGTTCCCTAGCAGATTTGTTCATGCTTTTCAGTCCCTGATCCATAAACAAGGCAAAGTTATACAATATTTGCTAATTTTGCATCTTGAACAGGTAAATCTTGGCGCTACAAGTAGTGGTTCAGGCATATGTTGCAAGGGCGAGGTTCATTTTGAGAACCATGAGAAGCAACTTTTCGTGAATTATTCATGATGAATATCGTGATGGATATTCATTATGAGTATCATGAATAATTAAGTATATATTCATAATGAATAATTCATGAATAGTTGGTTCTCACGATTCTTAAAATTTACGGTTCCTAAAAATGAACTTTCCCATGTGCGTATGTAATGATGATGGACGTACCACTCCTTGTACGTCAAGAATGGTGGTGCTTTGATCAATGTGCTTTTTTGAAGCGATTGAGCAAGCTGGGAACTTGTCAATAAAGGTCCTTTCAAACTCCATCACATGGTACTTGACATAACGCTCGAGGGTTGTGGCTTGCATGATCTTGGTAGCATCAACCTTACCAAGTTGCTCAATATAGACGGGTCTTCCATCCTTATCAACTCCGTGGTGTCCTTGAGGATAGTGTTTGACGACGTCCTCTTTCTCTTTGAAATCAAAATCCTAAACCAAAGAGGTGCAAATCTATTAATTGTTGCATATAGAGCCATTCCAACAGATGGTTAATAAGATGTTTTCAACAAGTACCTCCATTATGGTGTCTGTGCCATAATCCTTCCTCCATTTGATCATATCAGCCCACATTTGCTTAGTCTTCTCAATATCAAATTTCCTAGCCTTCAAAAATCTGTTTTTACCATCGTGAATGAAACCAAAAGGTGTTGAAGCTACGAAGATAAAATGGTACATCAATAATGAACTCAAAAGGGTTTTTTTACAGAAAAAGTTATTACCTTAGCATCATGTGGTAGTCATCATGCTTTGCAGGCAATAGTTCTTCCAAGATCAAAGCTTGACGAAAAGCGTCAACTGCCTTCAATTCTTCTGCATCATGCTCATCCACAACAACGGAAGTGACCTTACCGTTCTTCCTGCTCTTCTTGCCAAAGGAAGTCCTGAATTTGTTGGAGGCATTTATTGCCCTCCGCTTAAATGATAGCTTAGCTTTCTTCTCCTCACAGTTTTCTACGTCAGTTTTTTCTAAACCTGTTGAAAAGTTTTGTGAGTAAAGACGATGGATTCTATGCAACTGTTGCATAATCTTTAGTGGGCAGATGGTACTTGCTTTGCTTTTAACAGGTATGATTAAAGTAAATGGAATTCACCACTGTAAATGGTTTGTTGTTTATGTAGTTCTTAGCTTTTACCCTTATGTGTATTCCTACCTCCATTAAACCCTCGATTTTTATATCATACATCAAGTCCACACTTATTATCTATAACTTCAGTCCCAGTTTTTCAGCTATACGCTATCAACAATTCAAATATCATGTGAATAAATAATGAAAAAACGGGTGTCACAAAACAAAAAAGCATAACATGACATGGTGGTTGCAAAATCTCATTGCATTTTTATTTCTTCCTATTCTGTTCTTCATTAACTCGATGGCTATAAATGGCGTAAAGCTCAGACATGTATCCTGTGAACAGCATAATAATAGAGAAAAATACAGTATTGAAAGAAGGAATACATACCGACTGACGTTGCAGCAGTCATGATTGCAGTTACGTAGATGGCCGTATCGAATTTGAGGCCCTTGTTAAACTGCCTACTACACCTGTACCAAATTCACATCAGAATTGCAGAGGTTCATATGATATGCTCAAAGTTCAAATTCACAAAACACAGAAGGAATTGAAGTTGCGAATTCATACGTTTGCAACTATCCACATACAAATTCTGTATTACACAATATTGCAATTGAACTTATGATCATAATAGATGCACAAAATCTTCATCGATTAAACATACAAATTCATCCGAACTTAATTCAACGCCAAGGGTTTTGAACTTCAATAACGAAAATTGAATGCAACACAAACCAATAAACCCCCAGGAAGATGTAAATCAAAGAGTTAAGGAAGGTGGAGATTACAAAAACGAGTTGCGATTTCGAGCTAAAAATGGTAGAGTATGAAGAGAGGTAGGTGGAGAGGGAAATTACCAGTGCCAAAAATATGGCAGGAGAGTTGGAGAAGAAGAAAGGGGAGGTTCTCATCATCCAAAAAGCAAATCCCTAAGAAATTGAGAAGCGTCCATTGAATGGAGAGATTTGTGTGGGAGAGATTTCTATTTAATTTGACGAGGTCTTTTTCAATCGACATTGATCATGTCTGTAATTTTAGACATGGCAGCCACTATTAATGTGTGATGTATACATTCCTGTCATGACTCATGTATGTATGTATGTATGTATGTATGTGTGTATGTATGTGTACAGTTTGTCATACATGTGCAGGGGGACAGAGTGCCTGACCACATAACTAACTTAACTACTTTTGGTTTGTACACGTATAATATTATTATTATAAAATATTTAATTAAAACAACTTATTAAGTATCAGATACCGTTTATCGATACAAACATCTTAATATTTAGGGATTCATTTATCAAATGTCTACCCGAGTAAACGTTTATCGAGTCACGTTATCTTACCGGATGAAAATAACATGGACAAAAAATCTTACTTGGTAAGAACGAGACAAGGGCCGAGAGTCTTACCCGATAAGTGTTGGTGAGGACTCTAACCACGACTGGTGCTTACCGGATAAATTGTTGCATACAATGCTCTTTTTTGTTGACTAAAATCTTACCCAGTAAATAAGTGACATTGTTGAATGCTACTAACAAGCGCTTACCGGATAAGTGTTTGATTATTATAGTTTATGTATCATTTCTCAAAATTCTATTACAAAGATAAAGTTGAACCATACTAAGTATAACATTATACTTCATAAAACTGATAACCAACTCATAACTTTCACTCTTTCAAATCCGTAAAAAAAAATGATAACATAAAATAAAATTAGGAAGGATGGAGGGAGGATAAACGGAAAAACTACTTTGTTAGCAATTAAAAATCACTTGTGGCCACGGAGGTTTTAATACGGTGACTCCGGGTTATCTGCAAAAGTAGGTGGTCGCCCTGAGATTAGTCGGCTCGCATATCGGGTTGGATATCCAAGTTAATAAAAAAAAAAATCATTGATAACGTCAGACGAGAATATTTAAGTCTCGTTTCATTTAAAAAGACAACTTGTCTTTCTTTCAAACCTTTCCGGACTCCTGTGTTCTTAAATATAAATTTCTTTTAGATTCTATTCTAACAACTCAATTATCGACAAAAATAAATAAATCAAAACCCAAGCGTCCGTCAAATCAATTGTTTATTTTTGTTAACACATGATCTGGATTCCGATATTTATTTTCAAGAAATTAATATCGTTTTAACTTGCAGGTTTCGATAAAGGAAAATATCTTAAATTAAGCCATATCGATACAGGCATAAAATCAAATAAAAGACTAAATACCGTGAGTTGATAAGAAAAAAAGATTAATTAAAGATCAGTATGCAGATCATTGAAAATATTCGGAAAAATCTACTTGAATATGTACATGTAAATAGATATTACAAATTATTGATATAGATTCAAAGGGTTGGGTTCACGTGAGACCATTTTTTTTACACTTGAAACTTCACAGAAAAACGTTGTGAAGATAAAAAAACTAAACCTTCACGACAAAAACACTGTGAATGTTATCTTCATAACGTTTTGTTGTGAAGTTTCAAGTGTAAAAATATGGTCTCACGAAAACAGGCTGGTCTCATGCGATCCCAAGTCTAGATTTAAATATACATTTTAAATAGATTTTTTCAATAATTCAATTATTAATCTTTTGTTAACATTTTATTTATTTTCTTTTTAAAATATTTAATTTTATTATTTAAAACTCCTACCATTCATATATAACTTCTATGACCAATGATTAAATATATTAAATAAAAAGTTATATCATTTTCATGATTTTTACAAGGCAACTTTTTTTATTTATTTTGTATTTCCCAATAAATATAATATTTTTTATAGGATTTTTTAATATTATGAAAATAGTGAGTCATCAAATTTTAGTGGAAGTTATGGTGATCCACTCCATTATAAGAATTAAAACTTGTCTGTATTGTTGATAATGATATTAAATATAAAATTTATTTTTTTTATTTGGAAAATTGTATTAAAATATTATTTTTTGTGTCTTTATTTATAAAAGTTATTTTAGATTTTTTTTAATGTCTATGATAAGACATATTAAATAAAAAAATTTAATGGCCGTTTACCAAATACTTACTTGGGTAAGTGTTTACCAAGTTATATTACCTTACCAAATGAATATGATAAGAACAAAAAATCTTACCTGATAAAAACGAAGCAATGATCAAGAGTCTTTCCCGGTAAGTAAGGGCAATGACTCTTACCACAGTCAGCTCTTATCGGGTAAATTGTTGCATAAAAAACCGTTTTTGTTGACTAAAATCTTACCGGTAAGTATATATAATAGTATTGAATTTTCCCGGTAAGTGCTTACTGGGTAAATGTTTGGTAAACAGCCCCTTAGTAAAATAAATTGGTAAGAATTTTTTGTTTATAAGTTATAACCACATTTTCATTTTTTATATACAAAATCATATATCTTTTAGAGGCTGTTTGTTTACCTTTTAATTATTCTAAAACTCTCTGAATGATTTTGTATACTTGTGTCATCTTTAATCATTTAGTGTCTTAATTTCGTTATGAATAAATACCAAAGAATTATATTTCATTTTGCACTACATTATAAGTCTTTTAATCATTTTGACCATTTAATTATTCTGTATCAAACCATTCAACAGCTACTTAACAGTTTCTTAGTATCATCAAAAGTTTAGTACATTCTTTAAAAATAAAATTGTAGTAGAAATAAGAACAATTGAGAAAATATCTTCTATTTTGATATAATTTATCATTTTTTATTAGTAAAAACCATAAGCATTATATTGCAATATAATAAAAGCAAATGGAAAAGGACGAAATTGCCCTCACATGACTAGCACGTGAGGCGCTTAATTGGTCCGACTTAATGGCCTAAGACCAAAACCGTAACAAAATGGAAACCTTGACGACGTTTCTTGGACTTTTCAAAAGTTAGGGACCTAAAACGTAGGTTTCACAAAATATGAGGACGATATTTGTAATTTACCCTAAAACACATCTTCAGTCAAAAACCCTTACGCTATTTTAGGGTGTAGAAGAAAGGTGCATCACTTTACCTTCACTCACAGTTTCCTCATCAATGGCGGTTGCTTATTCTTCTTCTCACCTTCAACTTCAACCACTGTCTTTCACCAAAACCCTAAATCGTTCTTCGAACTCGATCACACCCAAAACCCTAGTTTCCTTCAAACCCAATTCAAAAACTCTTGGTATCCGAGCAATCATATCTCAAACACCTCCAGAAACCCAGAAATTTGAGCATTGTTTCACCAAAAAAGATGATGGGTATTTGTACTGCGAGAATCTTAAGGTTCAAGAAGTCATGGAGGCCGTTGAAAGGAGGCCATTTTATCTTTACAGTAAGCCTCAGATAACTAGAAATGTGGAGGCTTATAAGGATGCTTTGGAGGGATTGAATTCGGTTATTGGGTATGCAATTAAGGCCAATAATAACTTCATGATTTTACAGCATTTGAGAAGTTTAGGTTGTGGGGCTGTTTTGGTTAGTGGCAATGAGCTCAGATTGGCTCTTCGTGCTGGTTTTGATCCCACCAGGTACCGATCTTTCAATTTCACGACCATTTGATTCAATTGTTATTTCAAATTGCCGTTAAAATTCATTTGTGGGTATTGAGATTATGGTTGGATGTGAAACGATAGGTGTATTTTTAATGGAAATGGGAAGCTTTTGGAGGATCTTGTTCTTGCTGCTCAAGAAGGTGTCTTTGTTAATATAGACAGTGAATTTGATCTGGATAATATTGTATCAGCTGCAAGAATTGCTGGAAAGAAGGTCAATGTACTGCTTCGAATCAATCCGGATGTTGACCCTCAGGTTTGTGATTGCTCCTATCGAATCATTAGCAATAATACATTTTTTGTCTGTATAAATACAACATTATTTTGATTGTGTGAATAGGTGTAACCCCAAGATTACTCTCCAAAAGAGGAGAGCACGAAGGTCCTAATCTAGCTGATTTGACACTCTAACTCGACCTTTCCAACGGAGGCTAGACAGACACAAATTGTCCCTGTGGGGCTAGATGAGTATTCATATTGCCCCAGAATATTGAGTCCCTAGTGTGGTAGACCTTGGCTCTAATACCATGTAAGAATACGTGGAACCCCAAGATTACTCTCTAAAAAAGCCTTCCCTTGAGGAGAGCACAAAGGTTCCATCATATGTAGAGGAGAAATGGTTCGAATCTAGTCCATGTGGGACTATTCAACTAGATCAACCTGAAAGTTGTTAACAACTGCCTTACCCTTTGGGGTGGAGGTCAGGTCATCCCACCCCACCCTTACTTTCGAGTAGGATATACTAGGTTTGTTTGGTTTGGTTTGTCGGGCCACAAATACCTTGTAAGATTCTAGGTATATTTCTTTTTATCTTCTCCGGTTGGTGTAAAATTTGGTGTAAATAAATAGTGTTACACCAAAAACATTCCGTCAAGCTATTTGTTCTTATTATTAGAAATCCAAGTTAATTGCTATGGGAATGGAGATGCTCAATATCCAATGGGACTTCAGTTTGTTTGTTGTTATCTTTTACGGTTCTTTTCTATTTTCTCATGTTTGTTACCGTATTTCTATGTAATTTCAATAGTTAAAAACATGAAAACCAATACCATATCTTTATTCTTTTAATAGGTCCATCCTTATGTTGCAACCGGGAACAAGAACTCCAAATTTGGTATTAGAAACGAGAAGTTGCAATGGTTTCTAGATGCCGTTAAGTCGTACCCTGATGAACTTAAGCTAGTTGGAGCTCATTGTCATCTTGGATCCACCATTACCAAGGTATTTTACTATTTCTTTCGTTTAACATGCAAATACCATTATTTGTTTGATATTTTCATTTTATGGGTTCAATTTATACGACAAAAAGAGAAAAAGATGCAACTTTGGAGATGAGATCCACAAAGTGGAGAATGGAAACGGAAGGAAAATGGTGTAAATGAACATAACCTCTTTAAATCCCCACGGCTTTAGCGTAGCGGGCAAGTAGGTGTACATTCTTGCAAAAGGAGTGGGTGGTCTAGGGTTCGACCCCAGACATCACCCACCTGCCATTGAGATACGCAATTTCTCTCTCCCATGATCCGTGTCGGACTGGTATGGTGGAGCCGTTGGCGCCATACCCTTTGTTTTGCCTAACATGAACCTTATCTTTTTATCTATATTCGTGTTTTAGGTTGACATCTTCAGGGATGCTGCAGCCATTATGGTGAAGTTCATTGACGAAATTCGAGCCCAAGGGTTTGACATTAATTACTTGAACATCGGAGGTGGTCTTGGGATCGATTATTATCATAAGGGCACCGTACTTCCTACACCCAGAGATCTGATTGACACAGTAAGAACTATATGTATAGGGGCATAATCAAATGAGAACGTCAAATATTGTGATAACCGTGAGAACTTGTACTTTAAGGTATTGTTTCACATGATTTTTTTTCTTCCATTTATTGCTAGAAAACAAAGTATTATTTAAACATATATTTGTTATACATGTACTTGTTTCACAATGTGAAACTTTTTTACATGTATTTTAGTGACACAAACACGTAAAAAAGTTTCATATTATGAAGCAAATATATGTTGATCAATATTTCAAATCTTAGCTTCAGATGAAAAAAGGTTATGTGAAATAACACATGATGCACGGTTCTCATGATTATCAAAATTTTGTAGGTTCTCGTATGATTAGCGCCCCCATATATATTTGAAGTATATTATATTTATATACGACAAACCTCACACTCGTTCCACTCTTTTGATGAGTGGTGAGGCTTGAGCCCTTGACCTGCAAGGAGGTTGGGATCTACCGGTAACTCGGATGCCAGTGCACCATTGACCCACCGGCTAAGAACTCTCCCGCTGTACCAAAATAAATGTCCACAATTAAAAAGACACGGTTTTAGGAATGTGTAATTATTACACTTTCTAGTTAACTAAATGACAATTTTACTCATAACAATAAAGGGAGTAAAGAATTTTCCCATGTTATGTGGAATTGGAAAGTACACTTGGGCCCTGTTTGTTAACAGCTTAATGAGCTTAATGAGTTTAATGGGACTCACAACTTGATGAGTTTAATGGGACTCACAACTTAACGAGCTTAATGGGACTCCCAATTTAACGAGCTTAATGGGATTCGCAACTTATTCGATCAACTATACATGACTGTTTGGTAATGGCTTAATGATATAGAAAGTGGCTTATTCGGTAAACTTCTAGGGGGAACTTTATCCAGAAAACCAAGTTTTTCCCCAACCTGTCCCTCCAAATTAAAAAAACACTCTCCTGCCATCTATAAAAAGAACCCTCCCGATCCATACAAACAGATTAATCCATGCAGTCAACTTTATCCATTCAAATGGAAAACCAACCAAACAGCCCCTTAATTTTGGAAGTGGACACTTATTTTGGGACAAACTAAAATAGACTCCACACTTATTCTGGGACTGAGGATATATATATTTATTGGCATACCATACTATTGAGTATTGACTGTCGAATCATCTTATAAATTTTTAAATTTTAAGCCGAAATTCTTTCTGTCATGTTTGATTTGCTGAAGGTCCGGGAGCTGGTCTTGTCTCGAAACCTTAATCTCATTATTGAACCCGGGAGGTCACTGATTGCGAATACTTGCTGCTTTGTTAATCGTGTCACTGGTGTAAAAACAAACGGCACGAAAAACTTTATTGTGATCGATGGCAGCATGGCTGAACTTATCCGTCCTAGCCTATACGATGCTTATCAAGTAAGATTTGTTATTTCACTCGTATAAATTCACTTTGTTCCCCGATAATCTATTAGCAAGCAAATGTTCGGTGTCCTAAAATCCCCTTGATTGGTCCAAAAGAAATTTTAAAATGTTCCCATTGTCTACAAATAATTGTTTTTTGTATTAATTTCAAACGAACCGTTTGATCGATCATCGATGTACATTTCTTAGAACATTGATTGTGGTTGTAATGCAGCACATAGAATTGGTTTCTCCTCCACCTCCCGATTCTGCGGTTTCGACTTTTGATGTCGTGGGCCCGGTCTGCGAGTCGGCCGATTTTTTGGGGAAAAACAGGGAACTTCCCGCTCCAGCCAGGGTACCGTGTTCCACCTTTTCGTTAAGCGTTGATTTGAATTTGGGTTTAATGATTTCTTGATGGAGTTTCTTTCCTGGTTACAGGATTCTGGGCTTGTAGTTCATGATGCCGGTGCCTACTGCATGAGCATGGCTTCAACTTACAACCTTAAGATGCGCCCACCGGAATACTGGGTACGTTTTCTTGAATTTAACTTAACGTCAAACCAACAGATTTCGATTTTGAATCTTAAATGCATTTGGGATTCTTGGAATCCACATAGATTATCAATTTGTTCCACGTTTGGCTCGACAATTAGACAAGGACACGACAGGACTTAAGAGGACAAAAAACACAGTTTTTTGGCTTATCAGAATAGGTGGAACAAATTTCAGTGAATGAGACAAAACTTGGCAAATTACTAAACTACCCATGTCATATGTTCAAACCTTGAAACTTTCCACAAATTTTTTTACATGCCAAAGGCGGACATAGAAATTGTTTCACGTGGTGGCACCATTTGACTATAAAAAATAAAGCTGGATATTTTTCACAAAGTAATCTAGTCTGTTGGTTAGTTCCTTAATTATCTCAATTTTGTTCAGAAACATAGTAAACCTGAAATTAAAACCTCAGAAAATGGTATAAGTGGGATTCGAACCCACGCCCGGAAGGGGAGAAAAGACAATACAAACCAACTCTACCAAGAGAAACGTGTTATTATTGTAGTTTCAAGGAATATACGGCTGCACCCAACAAAATTACACAGTGGCACCTTTCACGACCCTAAATTGTTTTACACTACTGCGGAGGACGAAGTGGTGGCTCATGCCACCCTTTGCACCATAGTGGGTCCGCCCGCCCCTGTCACACGCCTACCTCACCCTTGCTAGTTGGGTTCTGTCTGGCTATCCGTGAACCAAACGCACCAATTGAACAATTGGTGATCTTTTTTTTTTGCATATTTGTATGGAGTTTGGGTTAACTAAATATGTTGAATGATGAAGGTTGAAGAAGATGGATCAGTAGCCAAAATCAGGCATGGGGAGACTTTTGAAGATCATATGAGATACTTTGAGGGACTCTCACTCTAACTTCATTTGCACTTTCTGCTTCTATCTTCCTATTTCTAGATTTCTTTAATCTCTGTTTCCTTTTCTAAAACTTAAATTGCATTATCTGCAACGTATTGGCTCGATTAACTCTAAATCAACTTTAAAATCATGATGAAAGTCCGAGAAGTACGAAAATTGGGATTGACGGGACTCATAGCTGGTCTTGGTCCCAAGCCACCATCATGTAACCGGGCTTTGGGAAAGGTCTTAACGGGTTCTCCAAACGAACTCCATGACCGATCCTTATGTGGTTGGGAATTCTTACTAGGACCGGAGTCTTAATCTGGCCTGTGTCGTTCATCTAGTCTAAAGAATATATGATTTAATGAATAAGGGGGTGTTTGGTTAGAGGTATTAATCAGTAATAAATGAGAATTAAAATAGAATAAACCGTTTGGTATAGTAAAATATAATAGGTTCATTCCCTCAAAAATTCAAATTTTTATTTCAGATTAAACTGGGGGAATAAAATTCATTCATATTTTCATTCTATGTTATTTTCACTTTTATTTCCGTTTTTATTACTCGACATGAACCAAACAGTCTCTTAGTTGTTTTTTTTAATATAAAGAGTTGATCATGATAAATGAATCCGGATAATCTTCTATAAATATTCAAATTATGATAAACGAATCCTTATCATTTTCGTAAATACCTCCATTAATTGGATGTATGGTTTATAGTAATGGTTGGGTTCAGATCCAGTGAGAATAAGAGTTAAGGTAAGAAGCGTAACCCTTGGATGTACATTAAGATGAGATATATCGAGATGAATCAGATCAATCCCTGTATCAAACGGGATTCATAGGAGAGTTTGAGATTAAATGTGATCAAGGGTACAAATCCATATTTAACTCTACTTTTCGCACGACATTTCTTCTATATTATAATATATAAGTTTGTTTTATATATTTATATATACATCTCGATTTTAGTGTTTAATTTTTTTTAGTCGATATTATCATACGGTTTTATGTGGTTTTAAGAAAACGATAATGTTTTTATTTTTGAATAAAATATAAATATAAAGATATTATAAAAAATAAAAAAAATATTGATATTAATAACAAACTAACTATTTTAAAGTTCTCATTTTTTTTTTGTGTATTTCTTTAATTCATTTTTTTATTTTTGGTTTAATAATATAATTTTTTATAAAGATAATAATTAAATATTTTGTTAGAAGTCAATGATTATCCTAATTATATTTTAGTTTTTTTTATATTTAAAATGAAATGTTTATTCTCTATTTGATTATGTTTATTTGAAGTTAGTTATACGAATTCAAACATGAAGTTTTAATAAATTGTATTTATGCACAAGTTACTTGTAATCTTGAATGTTAAGTAATATGCATCAATAAACAATACTTTATGCATAAAAAATGGTTTTTAAGAGTTTTTGTCAAATGTTTTATAATATAGTATAGATAAATAGAGAAATTATTCAACCTACTTATTTTTCTACCTTAGTTTTGCCTAGCTTATCCATAGAGGCTCAATCTATTTTATAAGAATGACCAAGTTGCAGACATAATGACCAAACCCATTAAGCTGGATCAGTTTGTGAAGCTCAGAAATCTGCTTGGAGTTCTGCTACTTGAGAAGTAAACTGACACTGATTAAGTTTGTCAGTTTAAGGGGAGGAATTTCTTGGGTTTCTCCATTGATCTGGTATGCTCGTCCAACAGTCAAGTGGGAGAATAGGTCGAAGCTTCGACCTATTATTCAGTAGTTTGCTATTCAGTTTTTGATTTATTGTCCTTGCTTTCTGCATTTTCTTATCCTTTTGTTTCAGTTATAAGGCTATATATAAGTCTGTTTATCTTCAATAAGATCATCAAAGTGGTTACTGGATACATACATTATTGCTCTGTTCTTTCTGCCCTATTTCCATTATCATCTAGTATGCACATCAAACACTACCTTAGTGTAACAGTCATTTAATACTTCTTATAATGGGTACACAACATAAATAACTGAATATTTGTTCTACTATAGTTGAAGAAATATTTCTATCATTATACTAAATTAAAAATACAGTAATAAACTTTGTTACATTCTGACCATTGTCATGAACATAAAAGACCATGTATTTTATCGGGATGGATACTTGTACGATTTTGATACTACTTCTTTGTATTTCAAAATTCGAGCAACTTATTCCTCTCCAATTTTCTGACCCTTTTTTCAACACGTAATGTCAATTCTACCATGTTAAAAAAAGAAAGATGCCTTAACATTCCTTTTAGCTTTTGAGTTTAATCGAAAATGATATATATATATATATATATATATATATATATATATATATATATATATATATATATATATATATATATATAT